GACATGTCACCCATTGAGCACGTTTGGGATGCTCTGGATCGACGTGTACGACAGCGTGTTCCAGGTCCCGCCAATATCCAGCAACTTTGCGCAGCCATTGAAGAGGAGTGGGACAACATTCCACAGGTCACATTCAACAGCCTGATCAACTCTATGTGAAGGAGATGTGTCTCGCTGCATGAGGCAAATGGTGGTCACACCAAATATTGACTAGTTTTCTAAACCAGACCACTACCTTTAAAAAAAAAAGGTATCTGTGACCGACAGATGCATATCTGTATTCTCAGTCATTTGAAATCCATAGATTAGGGCCTATTTAATTTATTTCAATTGACTGATTTCCTTATATGAACTGTAACTCAGTAAAATCTTTGCAATTGTTGCATGTTGCATTTATTCTTGTTCAGTGTAAAATAATGTATCTTTCATCTCTCTGTGTTTTAATAATAATCTCACAGGAGAAATCATCAGAGCAAGGGAAACAGCGCCCCTCAGTACGTATAGCCCATGTATCTGATGCTATCTGGAACAAAAGAGTATGACATGTTGCCGCCGTAGCGTTTGATTGATTGATTGATGCCAGAAATCATTTGGCCTCCCTTGATAAAAGAAATAAGTAAAATAATTACCCAATCAGCGTTGAGCTGAGCTGTTTGGATTTGGCTTCACACCAATCACATCCTAAGCAAAACGTCATCATTGTCAGAAAAACGTGTCTGTTTCTGATCTGCTTGTGTTGATGTTCTGCAGTAGCTAGCTTGCTAAATCGGCCATTTCCTAAGCTATGGATTGAGATGGGGATTTGGACTTGAGGTTTTCACTTAATTCTCTGTAGAGGCCAATGATTATGATGGCGATTCTGATCTAACCATAAATTCATATATTATGCCACTGCCTGAGACGATTGAAGTTCAATATGTAGCCTAGATGCAGCCTAGTAGGCTCACATAAACTAGCTAGCTAACTTATCTGCTTCATTGTTGCCCATGCAAGAAAGTTAGGCTAGCAAGCATTTTAGCTAGGTAGCCTATGATAACAAAAACTAAGAGGATAGACCGTTTTGCCGAAATGAAAGAGAGGAGGATGGCATTGGCGTTCAACTATTGTTTATTGCCATTCACAACTATGTAAAAATAGCCTACACAAAGCCAACACGTAAAAACATTGCAGCCTGCAGGTAGAAAATATCCTGATGAAAAGAAATATCCTATAAATCACATTGGCTAGGCATGGCCTGTCTGCAACAAACTTGAAACATTGTATCAACTTTCAACTGGGCTGCCTGAAACTCGTGCTAGCAAACTTGAAACATTGTATAAAATATTCTGGGCCCTCAGAGTTTCCCGGGCCAGTGAGCTCGGGACAGACACAGCTGTAGGCTATTTGTGCAAGGGATAAGAAGTAATCAGGTATTTTATAATGTTTCCACTGGATCAGAGCATTACATTTTTCCCTTTCATGTTAAGTGGTTTCCAAAAGGGAGAGAGCTGGAAATATTGTTCAAATACTTTGAGGAACTATTGTCCTTCTCAATTTATTCTAAAAACAGACTTGCTGTTTGAGATGAAGAAAAGTTACGTTGAGAAGCTCCACAGCTCATTAGTGGTGGTGAGTTAAGACAATCAGAAATAATATCAGACATCCCCAACTGGGCACATTTATAGGCCTAAATTTGCACGCAGGCCAGGTAGACTAGTCCTACTTCTATATGAGTAATCAAGTGCGCGTCCTTACCTAACATTGACAGGAGCATTACTAACAAAAGACGATCACTAAATTGACAACTCATAAATGGAATGAAATAAACAAAAACGTGTCTCACAAGTGTAGCATAGGTTGTAAATTCTGCAAAACACATGTCCAATCCGACAATGAGAATGGTAAATAACTGTAATAATACTATATTGAATGCATTAACAGAAATGACCGTAACCAAACAAACATTACAGATTAGAAATGATGGGAATTAACGGTAAATGTAGGCTACTAGTGGTGATATATGTAATGGGGAATTGATAGACACAACAAACATTGCACACAATAAAGTTATGAAACAATGAATACCCACGAAAGGGCGGGAGAAAACGCATTCTGGAGAGAGACGTGCCTTGTGCATCTGAGCCACAATCCCCATATTCTTGGACCGTGTCATCCCTGTGGCCTCCTCAATGGATTAGTCCACTGAGACAGGTGCAAATTAGACAGGTGTCTCGTGTGCCATAAAAAAGAAAGTATATTTGCGACTGCTGGACTACAAAAATCTTGTGTTTTCAATACAGACTCCTTTTGTAATACAGTATTCCATATAAGGCATCCAGACCTTATGGAATTTACACAGTATACCCTTAATCTTGTAATAAATCAAATCTAGTGATACATAACTTTACATTTCTGGTCATGTCTCCCCCATTCCCCAGTGAAAGTTGCGCCCCTGATTGGAAGCATAAGGACCTTTTTATCTTTCATATCAGCGAGAAATAATCATCATTTTTGTATCTATTGATACACACCCTGATAGGGTTAGTGTTCCCACATGGCCATATCTCCATGTTACAGTGTGTGTTTACGGAAGACAGAGGGACCACCTTTGCTAATTAGCTATCTAGCATGCTCCGAGCGCCTGTGTGTAAAGGAAGAAGGGCGCCAGAATGTGTTGTCACTGAAAAATACTGTCGGCTGCAAATGTGATAAAGCTGCTTAAAACAGTGTACACTAAGTGTATATTTTGCATTTGTGAAATGAGTTTGTTGTTATATTAAAGTAAAGGGCTTTATGTTTCTAGAACCCTATCACAGTTGAGAATCAATTCATGTTCAGATGGAGTGTTTGGCTGCTAGAGCAGTCTACCTCTGAAAATAACATAAGGTCCTTAGACCTTAAGGAGTAACGGTAGGCTCCTTAAGAGTACATCTTCGGCTAGTCTGACTTCAGTTCATGCATGTGCTTCAGTACATTTAAAAAACCCTAAATTATGCTTCAGTATCCATGTGAGTTACCTGTATGGGTGAATCACCTGTCTTTTGCAAAGCTGCAGAGTACAGTATCAGACCATAGTTCTGAAAACAGCATGGCTTGTTTTTGGTCAGTTTTGTTGCTTGGGTCGGTTGAAAGTTATTAGCTAATACAATTATTTATCCAGGCTCTGCTGTTAGTATGACTGATTATGCTTTGACTAACTGTGACCATTTACTTCTACTCTGTATCATGACCGAGAAAACAGACGGACTGTGAACGTCAACGGTATCATGCGCTTCAAATTAGAAAGCAAGTCTATTGTTCTCGTGTCTATTGTCACATGTATAGGTTAAAAGTGTCTATTTAGTGTTGATACGTTTAGCTGCCAGTGCCAATAATACATATTTGAAAACAATAACTTTATGCCTATTTTTGTTGATTTCGTGCACAGGCATAATTATAGCATTGAACTCGAGGAACTCCATTCAAGAGAGAATACTGTAGAAAGAGAGAGACTAGCTAAATTCGTTAACTGCTAGTGTGTATTAGCTACAACTCTCCTCATGTTCATGAGCCGACATAACAGGAGGCAGGAATGGTGGCTCCCATAGACATACTGTAAGGTCAGTCAACATGAACACACAACAATAATTCACAAGGGCTACATAGTGAACATAACAAATACAACTGTTTATTATGGATTCTCATAACAATTAAATTGGCATACGCTACGCAGTGTATGTGAATTGAAGCTCTCTACTCTCGCACGCAAATGTCACCACCATTGACGGTGTGGTTTCGGCTTAATTCCTATTTTCTCTCATTCACTCATGCATTCTATTTCCAGCATTCGCGCGCTTTAAAAAACGCTTTTCGTTTGAATTGGGTTTATGTGGATGGAATGACTATCTCTCTCTTCCTCTGGATTATAGTGTTATTGGACTAATTTCTGAAAGCAGTTACCCCATAATAACAAGTTCCCCTGTATGTTTAATGTCTGCTGGTCAAGCACATTTTTTGTGATTTGTTTTCGATTTGGAGGGCCAGGGGTGTTGTAACCGCAGGGAAACTAATCAGCAGTGGTTCATGTTTAGTGTGAGGGGATATGCTAGGAAATGGGTCATATAAAAATAAATGCGTACTAATAATAATAATAATAATAATAATAATAATATACAGGACTGTATCGTCTGTGACCACCCCTGTAGGCATTTAGCAGTTACAGAGTATTTTCAATTATTATTTTTGTTAATTACAACAACAAAAAAGTAACCTTTATTTAATTATTATTTACAATGACGGCATACACCGGCCAGACCCGAACGACGCTGAGCCAATGTGCGCCGCCCTATGGGACTCCCAATCACGGCCGGTTGTGATAAAGCCTAGAATCGAACCAGGGTTTTTGTACTGATGCGCAAGCACTGAGATGCAGTGCCTTACACAGTTGCGCCACACGAGCCGGAGTAGTTCTGTCACCAAGGCTTATTTCTTGGCAGAGATTACTATGCTTTTAAAAAAAATCAAACATCTCGCCAAATAAATATTCCAGGGCTGTGACTATGTTTGGGAAAGGAGCAGGGCTCCTAAATGCTTTGTTGACACTTCAGACAGTTTTATCTGTTTTTTAGTCTGTTTGTAATGGAAAAATCTTAATATAATTGTGGGAAATAGCAAGAGGAATGGAGGCAAAGAGATTGTTCTGCTGTGTTCTCTCAATATGAAATGGATTCAGACTGACTCACAATGGGAGTGCAAATGGCATAAACGCATGGGTGAAACGTTTGAATAGACTTGCAGTAAATCAAGGCCTACAGACTAATGCCCCATTTATCTAGAGTCTTGAATGCTGGTCACCTCATATTCTGTTTATATACTGTTGTTTACTCACTGTGTATGTATTTACTGTATTCTCGACATAGCTCACCCTAATATACCTACTACTGTACATACTGTTTTATTTTCCAAATTATATACTGTCTATACACACCACATTTATATTCTGGATTCTCATACATGCTCACTCCAATATATCTACTTGGATTGTTATTTCTTGATTTCTTGTTTAGATTTTTTGGGACAAAGCAGGAACAACAATATTGAACAAAGTTAAGAGTTTTTACCATCTGATACAGAATGAATTTGAATGCTCTATAAAAGGAAGACAAATTATTTAACGGTGTTTAAGATGTCAGTCATTCCATCCTGGGGTGGTTGTTTAATTCAACCTGGTGATGTGGTATTTCTGCGGTCCTCTCAGATGTGCCGGCTCCACCTCCTCTAGCTCCCCCTGCAGCTCCGTAGATGTGTTCCACAATTCCGGATCCGTCTGGCCGTATTCTGTCTGGCTGCAGGCTCTGTTGTAGGAGTGGACATAGTCCTCCACACTCTTTCCTTTGAGCTCAGAAGGGGAGTGGCACAGCAGGCCAGAGTGGGTCACCCCTGGGTGCAGACGTAGCCAGTACACCAGGTAGTGGATGCTGGAATATTGATGTATCTATTTATTTCATGGTTTATTTCAAGGGACAGGCCCATTTGAAACATTGACACATTGAATGATCCACGGTCAAATGCATTGTACCTGTAATTAGTTGTTAGCTAACTCTAATAGTAGTGCTACCCACCTGTAGTCACAGACCCAGGGGTTTCCCCCCAGCCTTAGTAGGGACAGGAAATAGAGGTCTTCTAGAACACCATAGTGGAAGAAGTGCAGGCTGTTGTTAGAAAGGTCCAACTCACGGAGGTGGAGAAGGCCAGACAGGGAGGCTTAGAGGGAGAGAATTATGATTATCATCATTAGTAAGGTCAAACTACACTGAACAAAAATATAAACACAACATGTAAAGTGTTGGTCCGATGTTTCATGAGCTGAAATAAAAGATCCCAGAAATGTTCCATACACACAAAAAGCTTATTTCTCTCAAATGTTGTGTACAAATTTGTTTACATCCCTGTTAGTGAGCATTTCTCCTTTGCCAAGATAATCCATCCACCTGACAGGTGTGGCATATCAAGAAGCTGATTAAACAGCATGATCATTACACAGGTGCACCTTGTGCTAGGGACAATAAAAGGCCACTCTAAAATGTGTAGTTGTCACACAACACAACAGATGTCTCAAGTTTTGAGGGAGCGTTCAATTGGCATGCTGATAGCAGGAATGTCCACCAGAGCTGTTGCCAGAGAATTTAATGTTCATTTCTCTACCATAATGTCACGATTTAACTAGATATGAACCCAAATGCAGACAACTACACCGAGCCAGAGAAGGTTTATTTACAAAAGTTCAATTTGTCCAGGTTTCCAATAATAGGGGAAGAGCAAGTCCAGGTTAACAGGGAGGGTAACAGATCCAGGTTCAGAGCAGGAGTGGTACCGTAACGTCCTAGTGTCCGTGGTGAGTCCAAAAGGAAGGTCCGGTAGTGGTAAGCAGGATGGTGGTGGCAGGAGTGAAGCGGAGGCAGGAGTCAGGTTCCAATAATCTGTGGCACAGGAGAAAAGTAACTAGAACAGGCCAAAAACACAAAGGGCGAAAACAAGCAGGTTGAGTCAACAGCGAAACTGACATGGTAGTCTTGACTATGATCTGACGATGAGTGGCAAGTTTGACCGGGTCTTAAAGGCTGAGGTGATTATGGTGAATGAGCTGCAGCTGGAACCCTGACTCCCGCACACCAGACTTCACTCCTGCAATCAAGGACAGACAGAGGGGAGGGAGAGAGCAGAGAGAGAGCTACCTAGCAGCAGTAGGCCTAACAGTACCCCCCCTCTACGGACGCCACCTGGCGGCCGACAGGGTTTATCGGGATGTAACCTATGAAATTCATGGACCAGAGCAGGATCCACAATGAAGCTCCTGGGCACCCAGGAACGTTCCTCAGGACCATAACCCTCCCAATCCACCAGGTACTGGAAACCACGACCCCGGCGGCGAACATCCAGAAGTCGCCGGACAGTGTAGACAGGACCCCCACCCACGATCCTGGGCGGAGGAGGGGGACGAGAGGGCGGGCACAGAGGGCTAACAGACACAGGCTTAATCTGTGAAACATGAAAAGTGGAATGAACCCGTAGGGAGGCAGGAAGCTGTAGCTTAACTGCGCAGGGGTTAACAATAGACAGTATCTTGAACGGTCCTATAAAACGTGGCGCCATCTTCTTAGACTCCACTTTCAATGGAAGATCACGTGACTTAAGCCATACCTCTTGACCAGGAGAGTAACCGGGAGCCTGGGACCGGTGACGGTTGGCTTGCCTCTGCATGTATGACGAAGCTCGGGACAGAGCTACCCTGGCCTTCCTCCAGACCTTGAAGCAGCGGCGCATGTGGGACTGCACCGAGGGTACCGCCAGTTCCCTCTCTTGAGAAGGGAACAGGGGAGGTTGATAACCCAGAGCACACAGAAAGGGAGACAAACCAGAGGAAGCGTTAGTCAAGGTGTTATGAGCATATTCCACCCAGGGGAGCATGGAGCTCCATGACCCAGGGTTAGACCCTGTGACACAGCGGAGAGCGGTCTCCATCTCCTGGTTCGCTCTCTCGGCTTGCCCGTTGGTCTGGGGATGATATCCCGAGGACAGGCTGGATGTGATGCCCAAAGCTTTACAGAACGCCTTCCATACCTGGGAGACAAACTGGGGACCCCTGTCAGAGACAATATCAGAGGGTAAACCATGAGAGCGGAACACATGTTCAACCAGAATATCAGCCGTCTCTCTGGCCGTGGGCAGTTTAGGTAGAGCCAAAAAATGAGCGAACTTAGAAAAACGATCAATCACAGTAAAAATGACAGTCTTTCCGGACGAGGGGGGAAGTCCAGTGACAAAATCCATGGCAATGTGCGACCAGGGCCGGCTGGGTATTGGCAGAGGTCGTAGATGACCAGCGCTGGCCTGGGTGGAGTTTTTACTTTGTGCACATACCGTTCAAGCAGCAATGAAGGCTCAAGTGTCCGCCTCCATCCTGGGCCACCAGAACTTCCGTCGCACAAAGTCAAGGGTCCGCGTAACTCCAGGGTGACAGGTAAGGGGAGACGAGTGAGCCCACTGAAGTACCTGGGAGCGAGCAGACTCAGGGACAAACAACCGGTTAGGAGGACCCCTCCCAGGGTCAGCTTGATGATGTTGAGCCTGTCTAACAATCCCCTCGATGTCACATGTGATGGCCGCAATACTGCAGGTAGGAGGCAAGATGGGTTCAGGGTTACTACCAGTATCAACAGCCGAATGAACACGAGACAGGGCGTCAGGCTTGACGTTGCGTGACCCAGGACGGTAAGACAGAGAAAAATTGAATCTCCCAAAAAATAGTGCCCACCTGGCTTGACGGGGGTTGAGCTGCTTCGCTGACTGGATGTATGCCAGATTCTTATGATCCGTCCAAACGATGAAGGGTTGTTCCGCCCCCTCCAACCAATGCCGCCTCTCCTCGAGAGCCAGCTTAACGGCGAGCAGTTCACGATTGCCAACATCATAATTCCTCTCTGCCTGAGAAAGTTTCCTTGAAAGAAAAGCACAGGGATGCAGTTTGTTATCTTCAGGAGAACGTTGTGACAACACCGCACCTACCCCAGTGTCGGATGCATCCACCTCTACGACAAACTGGCGGTCGGGGTCCGGCTGCATCAGAATGGGAGCCGAGGCGAAGCGATGTTTCAGTTCTTCGAATGCTGATTCGGCCCCTTCATTCCAAGCGAACGGTCGTGAGATGGAGGTGAGAGCGGTGAGTGGCGCCGCAATGCGGCTGTAGTCCTTGATGAACCTCCTGTAGAAGTTTGCAAACCCCAGGAATCGTTGAAGTTGTTTGCGGGTGGAGGGGGCTGGCCAGTCCGTGACAGCAGAGATCTTAGCTGGGTCCATCCGCAACTCCCCCTGAGCTATTATGTAACCCAAAAAAGAGGTCTCAGACACATGAAACTCACATTTCTCCATCTTCACAAATAGCTTGTTCTCCAACAACCTTTGCAACACCTGGCGCACATGCAGTTCATGTTCCTGGGAGGACTCAGAGAAAATCAGGATATCATCCAGATAGACAAAAACAAAACGATTCAACATGTCCCGAAGGACATCGTTCACTAGTGCCTGAAAAACAGCAGGGGCATTAGACAACCCAAAAGGCATGACCAGATACTCAAAATGTCCCAAGGGTGTGTTGAAGGCAGTCTTCCATTCATCACCTTTACGAATGCGCACCAGGTGATACGCATTTCGTAGATCCAGTTTGGTAAAGATCGTTACACCATGTAGGAGGGGAAAAGCAGAATTAATTAAAGGCAGGGAATATTTGTTCTTAATGGTGATGTTGTTAAGTCCACGGAAATCAATACAGGGTCTGAGGGTCTTATCCTTCTTTCCAACAAAAAAGAATCCTGCTCCTACAGGTGACGAGGAAGGACGAATAATACCTGCCGCCAAGGAGTCCCGAATGTAGTTCTCCATAGCCTCCGTCTCCAGGCGGGAGAGATTGTACAGGCGACTGCTGGGGAGAGGGGCTCCTGGCTGGAGGTCAATGGCGCAGTCGTAAGGCCGGTGAGGAGGAAGAGAAGTAGCTCTGTGTTTGCAGAAAACGGATGCCAGGTCATGATACACGTCAGGGACAGCAGAGAGATCCATGGACTCCAGTGGAGGTTGAGGCACAGTGCTGGCAGGGGTCTGAGCAGAACACAAACAATTCACATGACAAAATGTGCTCCATGAAACAATTCTACCTGTCACCCAATCAATGTGTGGATTGTGTCTTATGAGCCAGGGGGATACCAAGGACCAGGGGGTCTGAGGGCAGTCAATGATGTGAAACTGAATGTTCTCCTGATGATTACCCGACACTCTGAGACAAACAGGCACAGTCTGATGAGTAATACGGGTCAACAATTGTCCATTTAGGACCTTAGCCTGCAGCGGATGGTCCATAGGTACAGTCTCTAAATCCATTTGTTGAGCCAACTCTCGATCCAAAAAGCTTTCATCGGCACCACGAGTCAACCAGCAGCACTAACAGGGAAATCCTGGGACTGCCACTGGAGGGATGCCTGGAGCAGAATGCGGGGAGAAGAGGGAAGAATCCGCTGCTCGGCTCACCAAAACTTCTCCCATTAATGATGAGCCGGCCCTTTTCCCGGACGAACTGGGCAGGAAGGAACGAAATGACCAGCTTCTCCACAATACAGGCAGACCCGAGCCTGAATACGACGTGCCCGCTCCTCTGAGGACAACCGTGCACGACCCACCTCCATGGCTTCGGATTCAGTGCTCCTAGTATCGACTCGGGAAGACTCGGCCCTCTCCTTAGGGAAGAGGCGGGGGAGGAGTTGGTTGACGACAGACAGGTTGCTTGGAACTACCACTCCTCTCCCGGCGGCGCTCCCGAATCCGATTATCCAACCTGATGGTGAGTGAAATAAGATTATCCAGCGTAGGCGATTCATCATATGACACCAATTCATCCTTCAAGGTCTCAGCCAAAGCATTAATGAACACTCCTTGTAATGCCTCGTCATTCCAACCACTCACTGCCGCTAAAGTCGAAAACTCCACTGCCATCTCCGCCACACTGCGAGACCCCTGCCGAAGGAGACAACAAACGTTTAGCAGCCTCCTTGCCCCGTACGGGGTGGTCGAAAACCTTCCTCATCTCAGTGGTGAAGGCAACGTAAGCGTTTGCAAATGTCCGACTGGCTCTCCAGACAGCGGATCCCCACGGAACGAGCGGAACCGCTAGTAGAGTTGATAAGGTAGGCAATACGGGCTCTTTCGGAGGCGTAGGTGAGGGCTGTTGTTCAAACACCAACGAGCACTGAGTCAAAAAATCACCACGGTTCCCATGTTCCCGTCATAGCGCTCTGGAGCAGGAACAAAAGGCTCTTGAGTGGGCTGGAGGGGCAAGAAAAACAGCGGAGCAGGAGAAGGAGCAGTTTTGTATGCCATGCACGAGGGGTGCATTTTAACTGAGTAGTAAGGGCAGACACTTGATTGGTGAGTAATTGAACCTGATTAAGCAGCACCTGATGTTCTCAGAAATAGTCTTAAACAAGGGATCATGTTGGCCACACGTCTTAAAATGCCCTGATTGGCTATGGCAGTCCGAATCTGAGTGCACTCTGGGGTGGTATCCGAGCTTACTGTCTGCTGGGTTCATGTTGTCAGATCATACTGTCACGATTTAACTAGTTATGAACCCAAATGCAGACAACTACACCGAGCCAGAGAAGGTTTTAACAGGTTTATTTACAAAAGTTCAATTTGTCCAGGTTTCCAATAATAGGGGAAGAGCAAGTCCAGGTTAACAGGGAGGGTAACAGATCCAGGTTCAGAGCAGGAGTGGTACCGTAACGTCCTAGTGTCCGTGGTGAGTCCAAAAGGAAGGTCCGGTAGTGGTAAGCAGGATGGTGTGGGCAGGAGTGAAGCGGAGGCAGGAGTCAGGTTCCAATAATCTGTGGCACAGGAGAAAAGTAACTAGAACAGGCCAAAAACACAAAGGGCGAAAACAAGCAGGTTGAGTCAACAGCCGAAACTAACATGGTAGTCTTGACTATGATTGACGATGAGTGGCAGTTTGACCGGGTCTTAAAGGCTGAGGTGATTATGGTGAATGAGCTGCAGCTGGAACCCTGACTCCCGCACACCAGACTTCACTCCTGCAATCAAGGACAGACAGAGGGGAGGGAGAGAGCAGAGAGAGAGCTACCTAGCAGCAGTAGGCCTAACACATAAGCCGTTTTTAGAGAATTTGGCAGTACGTCCAACCGGCCTCACAACCGCAGACCACGTGTGTGGCGTTGTGTTGGCGAGCGGTTTGCTGATGTCAACGTTGTGAACCGAGTGCCCCATGGTGGCGGTGGGGTTATGGTATGGGCCGGCATATGCTTCAGACAACGAACCCAATTGCATTTTATCGATGGCAATTTGCACAGAAATACCGTGACGAGATCGTGAGGCCTATTTTCTTTAAGGTGTCTGTGACCAACCGATGCACATCTGTATTCCTAGTCATGTGAAATTCATAGATTAGGGCCTAATCAATTTATTGACTGATTTCCTTATATGAACTGTAACTCAGTAAAATCGTAAAAATTGTTGTATGTTGCGATTTGTATTTTTGTTCAGTATAATATTTTCTTCCCTTTTTTAAGTACTTCCAAGACTGTCCTGTGGACAGTTCTCTGGCAACGCGAATGCTTCAAACCTCCCATATGTTATTAATCAGCTGATGGGATACACAACTGTGCTTGTTTATATGTTTCTCTTGGATATCACAGTGAATAGTAAACATATGGTTTTCATTTATCCATGATCTGGAAATGGAATATTCTACCCGTCTGACTCCCACTCATAACAGGTTGATATGATCATCAGGCTTTCTGTCTCTCTGCCTCTTTCTCTCTCACTCTCACTCTCACTCTCACACTCACTCACTCACTCACTCACTCACTCACTCTCTCACTTACACACACACACACCTGTGTCGATGTCCTTCAAGTTGTTGTGGCTGAGATTGAGTGACCTCAGGCTGCTGGCCTCCACAAAGTCTCTGGCCTTCAGGCGCCGGAGGGAATTTTGGGACAGGTCCATGTGAACCATGTCCCCTGGGATGTCTGCAGGAACCTCCACCAGATCTAGAGACCGAGAGGGTAATGGGGGAGATAACAGAGATGGGTGATAGTCAGTTTCTGTCATAATTGTTTTTCCAAAGTTTCCTCTCTAACAGATCGGCATGGAACAAGATGGCTGTAGTTAAAGGGGCAATCTGCAATTGCTACATACATTTTTGGACTTGTGAATTAATGGTATGTACCCATTGTTTCTTGAAGAATATAACTTCTAAATGCCTCATGAGCTTAGTTCAACTGTCGTACCCCATCAGAATCCAAAATATAGGCTTGTTTTACTCCAATGTTTGTAAACAATGTAAATGTAAATCAAACACTATATAGCCTAGAAACATGTTACAAACTATAATTGTTATATAATAGATAGTCAGTCTTTGCATCCATAGCTCTGTCTGAATTTGAGTAGTTATATTTCTCCAGCCCCATCCCTCAGCTTTTTATCGAAACAGCGGCGGGGACTTGGCTTTGTTATTGTTTCAACTGCTGATCGCCACTTTAAAGACCCACTTCAGGTTTTTTGATTTTTGAAATTGATTTTTCCAGCTAAGTATTGATAATATCCAAGGGGTTCCTGAAGGAATTGTTTTCCAGTTATCCTGTATTAATGATTTATATAGGCAGGACTGGGACACCCAAAGGTAAACCCTAGAGGAGGGACAGTTGGAAAACTGGTAGGGAGACAGTTTGAAACTCTGCTAGCATTGCACAAAGCATCCCCTGGTGCCCTGACAATGGCTCAGTCCTTGATTTATACTGGTTCAGTTTCTCCCAAAATTAAATTAAGACGTTGTTGTTATTGTTTCAGAGGGATTTTAGTCTGTTAATGAATCTGATTTGGCCAATAGATCGCTGATCCCTTTATAAAGAGAGAGAGGAAGATATGCAGAGTGAGAGGGGGGGAAGAGGGATGGGGATACTGTATATAAGACCGTGGGATTAAGTCGAAGAGAGTGATAGAGACTGAAAAATAGGAAACCTGCCAGCCGTGATCTCCCTCTCTCCAGCTCTGTCTCTAATTCTATGAATCCTCAGAGGAATGGGGGTTTGTCATTCCTGTGGTGTGACGTGGCCTAGTAAGATATTCACGAACATACGTGTTCTCTGGCATACAGAATGGAGTGATTTCTCACATCTGTCCTGTTGTGTTAGTAGCACGTGTTCTAAGTACTAAACCTACACATGCAGAGACACATGTACTAGGCATGGGCACAGTCTAACCATGAATCCACGTCAAGACATACATCTCTTTTCATCATTTCCTGTTGAACGCGGAACGAGGGAGAGCTCGGTTTGTTGTTTTGGAAAGTTTGTTGTTTTAAAAGTGTATCGGACATTTTCTTAGTAGTTTGCTAACTTTTTTATTTGGATCCCACAACGCAGTTGGCATCAGTTGCTGGGACTGCTACTCTCTGTCCAGTGATCCTGCTGACCAAGGCCGGGTCTGATGAGCTATTTGGCGTAGCAGCTAGCCTAGCTGCTAGCTAGCTAGCTGCCTATCAAGCTAGCTGGGTTTCTTGAGGGCTTGAAAGTAGCCCGCAAAGCGGTTAGCCATTGTGGCTGGGACCGCGGATTGTCCCGGGTTTGTGGCTGTCTAGATCCCTGCTGTTTGTTTTTTTCAATCTTCCCTGTGACCTGCCCGGTCTGGAACTGTGAGGAGTAACAGTGTAACCTACGTTGCTACCATGACAAAGACCAAAGCCGGCGGGTGTACCGTTGAGGACAGTGGTGTCTCTATCACAGGTGAAGGGTCTTTTAAATGAACAAAAATCGTTCTACAAGCAGTTGTTACAACAACAAGAAAATAGCTTCAAGTCAGTCAATCAGTTCTGTGTGTGAATCCATGATAACAATGATGGATAAATCAAACTCTCTCGAGGCGGAATAACATGGTTGTGGACGGAATTGCACAATCTCCACAGACGGAGTCTGAGGACAAAGTGAGGGAAATGATCTCTGAGAAATTGAAGATTGACCACAGGAAGATTGAGGTGGAGCGCGCCCACAGGACTGGAAAACCCACCACCGGCCCAGGTGACAGGCCCAGGCCGATAGTGGTCAAGTTCCTGAGGTTCAAGGACAAGATAGCTGTTCTGGAAAGAGCCAATAACTTGAGAGGAACGTATATCTTCCTCAACGAGGACTATCCTGAAGCTGTGCGCCAGAAGAGGAAATAACTTATCCCAGCCAGTCCCCACGCGCTTATCCCAGCGCGTGGGGACATTGCTTACATCCACTATGACAGGCTCATTGTCCATCCTCCCTCCCAGAAGCCTGGAAGGGATGAGAGAGCCAAGCCTATGGGTTCGTAGCTTCAACCCCCCACACACACACCAATTGATTAATGGACTGCTGAATGTATATGTATTTTTTATCTTGCTTTGTTTGCTCTTGCTTTACCATATTATGTCTATCTCTGATAAGCTACCCAGGAAAGAGCTGAAAATAGCCCATATTAATATATGTAGCCTTAGAAAAAAAATAAGGTTCATGAAATCAATATCTTGATATAACATTCATATATTAGCCATTTCTGAGACTCACTTAGATAATTCATTTGATGATACAGCAGTAGCAATACAAGGATATAACATCTATGGAAGAGACAGAAATGCTTATGGGGGAGGTGTTGCTGTATATAGTCAGAGCCATATCCCTGTAATGCTTAGAGAAGATCTTATGTCAAGTGTTACTGAAGTGTTGTGGTTGCAGGTTCACTTGGCACATCTAAAGCCTTTTCTTTTGGGGTGTTGCTATAGTGCTAACAGTCAGTATCTAAGTAATATATGTGAAATGCTTGATAGTGTATGTGATGTAAACAGAGAGGTCTACTTTCTTGGGGACCTGAATATTGACTGGTTTTCATCAAGCTGTCAGCTCAAGAGGAAGCTTCTCACTGTAACCAATGCCTGTAATCTGGTTCAGGTTATTAATCAACCTACCAGGCTGTTTACAAACACTACAGGAACAAGATAATCCACATGTATCGATCACATTTTTACTAATACTGTAGAACTTTGTTCTAAAACTGTATCCGTACCCATTGGATGCAGTGAACACAATATAGTGGCTGTCAGGGGTGCTGAAGGTGGGTGTGGTGCAGGAATCAAGCGCAGGACGCAGAAGCTAAGTCCAAAAGACTTTAGTGAGTTATTCACGTAGTACACGAGAACAATAAGCCCGGAGGCGAAATAAAGGCGCACACAGGCGTCAAACAAAAGGCGCACAAACATGTGCGAAAACCTCTCCAAAAAACGGAGGGAAGATACGTAGCTCAGAACACCAAACAGAGGAGCAATCACACACAACACCATACACACACAACGAGAACTAAATAGGACACTAATGAGGACTAACTAGACACAGGTGTACAACATCAAGACAAAACCAAACGAACATGAAACATAGATCGGTGGCAGCTAGTACTCCGGGGACGACGACCGCCGAAACCTGCCCGAACAAGGAGGAGGAGCAGCCTCGGCCGAAACCGTGACAGTACCCCCCCCTTGACGCGCGGCTCCAGCCGTGCGCCGACCCCGGCCTCGGGGACGACCAGGAGGGTGCGGAGCAGGGCGCGCGGGATGGTCCCGGTGGAACTCCGACAGGAGAGATGGGTCTAGGATGTCCCTCCGCGGCACCCAGCACCGCTCCTCCGGGCCGTACCCCTCCCACTCCACGAGATACTGGAGACCCCCCCATCCGGCGTCTTGAGTCCAAGATGGACCGAACGGTGTACGCCAGAGCCCCCTCGATGTCCAGTGGGGGCGGAGGAGTCTCTCCTATCTCAACTTCCTGGAGTGGACCAGCTACCACCGGCCTGAGAAGAGACACATGGAACGAGGGGTTAATATTCTTATATTCAACAGGTAGATGTAACCTATAACACACCTCGTTCAATCTTCTCAGGACTTTAAAAGGCCCCACAAACCGCCGACCCAGCTTCCGGCAGGGCAGGCGGAGGGGTAGGTTTCTGGTAGAGAGCCAGACTCGATCTCCGGGTGCCTACACCGGCCCCTCACTGCGGTGGAGATCGGCGCTCGCCTTGTGACGACGGATGGCCTGCTGCAGGTGGACGTGTGCAGCGTTCCACGTCTCCTCCGAGCGCCTCATCCAATCATCCACCGCAGGGGCCTCAATCTGGCTCTGCTGCCAAGGTGCCAGAACCGGCTGGTAACCTAACACACATTGGAAGGGGGTTAGGTTGGTAGAGGAGTGGCGGAGAGAGTTCTGGGCCATCTCGGCCCAGGGAATGTACCGAGCCCACTCCTCAGGCCGGTCCTGGCAATACGACCTCAGAAACCTGCCCACATCCTGGTTGACTCGTTCTACCTGCCCGTTACTCTCCGGGTGGTACCCTGAGGTAAGGCTCACCGAGACCCCCAAACGCTCCATGAACGCTCTCCATACTCGGGAGGTAAACTGGGGGCCTCGATCAGACACTATATCCTCGGGTACCCCGTAATGCCGGAAGACGTGGGTAAATAGTGCCTCTGCAGTTTGTAGGGCAGTAGGAAGACCCGACATAGGGAGAAGACGACAGGCCTTAGAGAACCGGTCCACAACGACCAGGATGGTGGTATTCCCCTGAGAGAGGGGAAGGTCTGTCATAAAATCCACTGAGAGGTGGGACCATGGTCGTTGTGGAACGGGCAGGGGTTGTAACTTACCCCTGGGCAGGTGTCTGGGCGCCTTACACTGGGCGCACACCGAGCAGGAGGAGACATAAACCCTCACATCCCTGGCTAACGTGGGCCACCAGTATTTAGTGCTAAGACAATGCACTGTCCGGCCAATACACGGATGTCCAGAGGAGGGTGACGTGTGAGCCCAGTAAATGAGTCGATCCCGAATCTCGAGCGGAACGTACTTCCGACCCTCAGGACACTGTGGAGGGCTGGGGTCGGTACGCAACGCTCGCTCGATTTCGGCATCGACCTCCCACACCACCGGTGCCACAAGACAAGACTCCGGTAGTATGGGAGTAGGCTCAACGGACCTCTCCTCCGT